CGAAATACGTCGAAATATTGGAGGAAGGACTCTTGCCACTTCATTCCTCGGGTTTCGTGGACAAGAACACAACGTTGTTCCAGGAAGATGGAGCACCGTGTCACACTGCTAGAAACACCGAAAAGTGGCAGGAAGAAAATGGTATCCAGAAGTTGCCCTGGCTGAGCCAATCTCCTGACTTGAACCCTCGAAAACCTCTGGGCCATACTCGACCGGCAGGTCAAGAAACAACCAAAAAAACCAAGTTCGAAGAGCGATCTACTCCAAGTTTTGAAGCAAGAGTGGGTGAAAATCCCACAATCTAAAACTGACGAGATGATTCTCACGATACCCCAAAGGATCAACGAACTCCACAAAGCGAAAATAAGATCTACTAGATATTAATTAAATTATAAATATATCAATTCATGTGAATATGACTGAAAAATTTCATTTTTTTCTGAAAAGGCGGTGTCTATTTACTTGTGACCACGCTGTGTAGACACGTAAGAATTTATATTTGGACGTGTTTATAGTACTTGGCGTAATACCAAATTTTGTTTTACAGTTCTGTCCTTCTCAGCTTTTAAAGTTAATTTAGCAATAAAATGTGATTATGAGAAATACTAAATGCTATAAAACCTATTAGTAAGATTTATTGAGGTTAATGACTTAATATAATATGATTTGTTATAAAAAAATAGTATATAACTCAAAGGAATTCATAATTTCTCATTTCCATAGGTCAAAGCTTGAAACTTTCATTTTACAGTTCAGTCTTACATCACTACTGTTCCTTGCATTCATAGCATGAACGATATTCTGTTAGATTTTTCTCAAATTAATTATGGTGTGGGCACAAAGTAATACTTTCTTTTTACTATTATTACAACATACATGTTTTACCAGATATAATCTAAAAAAACACCGTTGCGGTAAATTACTATTAGACATGAGATCGATTTTAATGACTTTTTTGTGAAATAATTTTAATTAAACATTAAAGAATAAAAATCGAATCTCTAATGAGTTATATTTCAAACACCTTAAAATACTCTGAGGTTAATCAATACTCATCTTACAAGACCATAATATTTCAATTTATCTTTTCATTATTAATATAAACATTTGTATACAGAAAGCATCACATTTATAAAGCATATTTTACTGGCGATTAATATAGATATTTCTGTTGATAATAAATAAGAGTTTAAATTTATACGAAAAAAGGGGTAAATTTGGAATGAGCCAATATTGTATGTTCCCAAAGTTGTCAAAAAGACTTTGCAGCATTGGATGTCATATATTAGATACTATGTACAAATTTGTATATGGCCTAATGAAAATATATTAACATCCAAGAACATAGTTTTAATTATAACTCCAATGGCTACCAAAGTCGAGTTTTAATGTCAAAATTTGGCTCTTAATTCAGTCATTTACATATTAATACATTTACATGTAAAAAAGGCTGAAAAATTTCCTTCTTGGATAATACAAAACCTAAATAATGCTATAAAGTGAAATAAAAACATATGTTGCAGTGTGGAAACTGAAAGCAATAAAGGTTCATAAAGTGTTAATTGCATGTCCAATAACACACGTTAAAAACAGAAATAAAGATGTTCAGTGAATTTATTTACAAAAAAAAATAAAATTTGCAATGTATTTCTTTTTCCTTTGCCAACGGTAAAAAATAATTTTAGGAAAATTAATTAGATATTAGCTTCGTGTTCCTGCATATGTTAGAAAAATTTTCATAATTTGTCCGGAGTTTACGTAAGTTGCTTCTTCCTTCTACCATATATGTAGGCTATGATAATAATTAGAATTTATCTTTTTTTTTTTACTTTGTCATCTGATTTTTGTGAAAGAAAGTTTGAACAAAATTGTAAGTTTATAAAATTGATTTTAAAATGTTTTCAAATCGTTATTCATAATATAAACATATTATATTTCCAAAGTAAGCAGGAGTTTGAATTGGTTGTAATGTGGAACGCATTATCATAATGCTTACAAATAAGAAAACATTTTTCTACAAACTATATCATGAGATTTAAAGGTTTTTTTTGTAAAAAAAATATTATTTTATTTAAATATGATAAATGGTGTATGTGTGGTAAATAAATTAGTGTGTATTGTAAAGGATGTTTTCTTGGAGCAGAACTATACTCTGTCTAGCGAGGGAATCGAACCACGAATTATATCGTTGTAACTCCGCAAACCTACCGCTGCCCAACGGGGGACTTTAAAAAAAAAATCTCATGTTAACTTAAGTTATAAATATATTACGCAAAATCACTAGAAAAAATTGAATGAATAAGTGTTGATATGAAACTGTTTCAAAATATATTTGTTATATTAGTAGTTATTTGTTTCCAGAAGTAGCAACTATTCGCTATAAAAGTGAAATGATGGAGTTGTGTAAAGTTTAGGCCTCCCATTGAATCAGATGAAGTTCAATGGATCTATCTGTTTGGCCGTCCGTCTATCCATTCACATATCTATCTAATAAACCAATTCTCATTAGTTTAAAAAATATATAAATTACGCTCTCCAGAACGGAGAAAAAATATTAATAGTAAAGAAACTCTTTTGTAGCTTAGCTCCACTGTTTTTTTTTTCTTTAATTAAACCTTTTATGATTGAAATAGCTCGCCTTTGACTTGTTATTTTTAGTTTATATTTCCTGTTAGTTTGCTTGTTGCTAAGCGCAAAGCTACACAATCGGCTTTCTCTGGTCTGCCAACCATGGGTATCGAAACCCGCGTTTTAGCGTCGTAAGTTTGCAGATATACGGTTAGAAAAGAGAGTTCAAAATATTATGGGTATATATATATATATAAATATATTATAGGATACAAAGTTAATTTGTCGATCGCTAAGTAATTTCTCAATCCTGAATCAAAACCAGTAGTTTATACATTCTACAATTTGAATTTTTCAACGGATTTCATTAGTTTATTAGCGATAATTTATTCCCAGTTCATAAAGATCTTGTATTTCATATATTACTGATAGATTTGAATTATTGGAAGAGAAGGTTTAAATGCTATCTTTGGCACTGAACTTCAATTATAGAGGACCGAGTAAATAGATGGGAGATCTGTGTAACTTTCTGTAAGGATATTACCTAAAACTTGTGAACCAAGCAAGTTTAACAGAGCTATTAAATTTTAATTAAATATGACGTTCGTGTTTTTTGAATATATCGATACCTTCATAAAATAAAGATACCATACTTTGTAAGAACGCTTAAATTTTAGAAGTATCCACTAGTATTTATTTATTCTTAATTTTACGAACTTTTATAAGAGATTATATGGTCAAGTCACATACCAGTTTTCTTGTGTATCTTGACCAAAAACATTCACAACTTATAGTTGCAAAAATCTCTAGTTACCAACGACCCGCTATAGAAATGTGTAACTTCTGTCAAACACACTTAGTCTTGACTTCGGAAAAATTTTAATGCTTGTTATTTAATTAGAAAATATTCTATGTGACAAGTTATAAACGATATGTTATAGCTGAGAATTAATTCCAAGATAGTAAAAGGCCTTCCCTATCATATTAAAATCTAATAAAATGTGGTTGCTATTCTGTTCCCTTTGATGGTCGACTATTACTAAACCAACTAAACGAACAATTAGCATGAGACAATGAGGCATTCTCAGTTTAATCGGTTTTCCGTGTAGTAATTAATATGAATAGAAGTATAACCAGAAGATCAATATAAAATGTTTGCAAAGCCAAAATTTGATCTTTCTCTGACTTCGACTGAGTTTGGCGCAAATAATTAGACTGGTACCTGTTTCTAAAAGTAGAAACTATTTGTAATTAAAAGTACAGTAAAACAACAATTATTATTAAAGACAGTTATAAACTGTAATGTCTTTACTGGAGAAACGTGAGTTTTGAATTGTTATCTTGAATTATGTTCTATATGTGTGTTTCATACTGAGAAAACAAGATTTTATATAATTATAACAACAATGCCATTCTTCTTAGGTTGCAGGTGTTACTCATATGACTGATCGTCACTTTCACTTCAAAACATGGGATATTGCATACCTCTGGTTTCAACTGACTTTCAACTGAAAAAGATAACTGTCGATTATTATGCAACAGTCTTTCCCACAAGAAAGTATATGTGTCATTTTAGTTGATTAACTCAATTTCTTGGGTAACTTGGGGGAGAGGAACTTAGTGTTTTCCTTTACCACCCTTCTATATTAGCACTGCATGATTGAAAAATTACGAAAATTTTAGAAAGTTTGTATATTAATTATGGTAGTAAGAAACATAATATGCCTGGATAACACATGTCTCTTCTGTTCATTACATTCAGTCTGACTGAGCCATCCCTAGCTTTAAAACTCGAAAAGTAGTTAAAATGTCACGTGCATTAGTCAAGAAATAGGTGTAACTTATTATCATCCCTGCAAAATGCTTAGACTACATTTCATACAAGAACAGCAAAATAAAACATACACCAAAACAAAAGATTATAATTAACAATTACAAGCATGCATAACCAAAAAATCAACCTCTTCATTAAATATTATTAAATAAAATAAACTCTGTATTGCAATATACAAACATAAATGAAAATAAAACATACTTGGAATAAAGTGTACAAAACAAATATTTTATACAAACAGAAAGAAAAAAAGACATATACAAAACTCAACAGCCAGCATAAAATCCAATACTTTATGTAAAAAAAAAGAATGTGATGGCATCATCATAATAATAAAGATACAAAATATATACTCTATAAATCTTTTAAAAAGTAAGTAATACTAAAATCCTTATGAAGTTAAAATATACATATAAACTGCAAAATAAAATCCTTCATAAATCAAAATGTACATATACACAAATTACAAAACCGACAATACACATATTTACAATACACCCAATAAAATCCAATAATAATTATGCCTAATATAACTGTATTTACAAGAAAATACTAATTAAATGGATAAATTAAAAACAAGAAGGAAATATTTACTTACTAAAGCCCTGAAAGCAGGTCTTCTACATCAGCAGCTGATTTATGGTAAACCATACAGGAATGGGAAGAAATCAACGGGAGTTACTACATTCATCCATATGAAATCAAAATAAAATTTTGGCATGCTCTCCTTCCTGACAATCACTATTGGAGATGATTAAGTACTACCTGAAGGCTGTATAATTCCCTTCTTTATCCTCCTCTGTACTTTAGTACTGGCTACATCTGTATTGCTCCAGAAAAGCCTGCATGATAGCTATGTGATGATGACTTTGGTTTTACCCAGTTGGCCATTTGGTCCTATAAATTCATCGGTGTACTTAATCAACAGATCACACTGTGTTGAATCAAGATTGCTGGCACAATCCTTAAACAACAAAGTGGTGTGCCATCATATGCATACTTACTTTCAGACATGGCATGATAGAAGTAACACTTGTGATACCACTAATCTTGGTTATTTCCATTTCATTTACCATTGTAATGACCATTCTAGAAGGAAGCTGGATAGCTGAATGCCCATAGTTACAGAACAACATGCGACTTCATTCCTCTTCATGAAAATCACTGTCCAAACTAATCTTTATTACTTCTTTATTACTTCATTACATAGGGCCAACACATTAGACTACATATATTGTAAACCACGAAACACCATTTGTGTTCTCAGAGGTACAATAATTCCATCTATAATATACATTCATACATTCCACTGTTCCTAGGACCACTCTGGCCCCATGCAAACACAGCTCATTAGTTCATAGGCAGAGTTAACTGATAATTTCTGTAGTACATCTATTCCAGGGACGCCTATGTAGGTGATGTATACCTTATTTTGTGATTGTGTTTATTTCAATAATTGTTTATTCAAACATATCTAAGAACTGATACTTTGTAACTTTGCCAAATCTATTTAATGTAATCTGGAAAGAAAAAAAGAAAAAATGTTTGAACTGTGATCTCTGTGCAGTTCTAATGGGTATCGTCTGTAATCAAAGCCATATACATTTTTTTAGAATTTTCCTGCCTATCTCAGAGTGTAGATTTATATACACCCAAACCTCGCCGTCCCTTACAAATATTCCTTTACTCTGAGTAACTATTTCAATAATAATGTGCCTTGAGAGGTGTGTATGATGCTAAAGAAAGAGGGCTGGACAGTAAAAAATACATCTTAGACTTCAAATAAGAAAGAAATAATTGTCTAGACAAAACTGGCTATAAAACATTCTTGCGTATCTACGTCATTTTAAAGTAAACAACACTGGGTAAGCTCACTAAGCTGTAATGAGTGGTTTCTCATAAAGTGATAACCTTTTTGTATTATATCATAAGGTAAGGATATTTAGGGTTAGCAAGTATGGTACACTAGGATTTCTAAGATGGCAAACTATTTATATGGCAGAAAAGCTTGTTAATTTGTGTGTATTAGTAAATTTATTAATACTCAAACAACACATACAACTACAACAACTCCTTAACTGTTGAAAATAAAATACAATTATTAGGTAAAACTTGAGCTTGACCAAAAATATAGTTGGCAAAATATCGTCTACATCAGTGTAGACCTAGGATAAAAGTATAATTTGTGTTTATATCAGTCAACACTTTCACTATTCTTTATGCTATTTTCGCGGTTACATAAGTGCCTCAGTTGGTAAAGATAAGTAACAAATATACATAATTAAATAAAATAAAACCTGTTAGACCTAATGAGGTACACAAAATGAAACTTTTTGATTAATCATTTTTAAAAATCCAGTTTGATTTTTCTATTTCATATTTGTAAATAGGTTTTTATGTAAAATCGAATAAATAATTAAAACGTAAAGTTTTATATTTACACAATTAAAAGTTTATTATAGCCGCTAACGGCTTTTACATTAAAACACCCTACATGTTATATGTTTTGACGCACTTGTACGTTGAAGTAACTATTTCGGAACCTAAAATGATACAAATACTAAACTAAATTAACGACATGAACGACATATGTAGAAAGTGTGTACCAAATTTCATGCATTTAGGTTAAGTATTTTAAATGGTAGAACAAAACAAACAAGAGTGATACAACGTCACCCACGTGGTCCTGATAGGATTAACTGAGTGTCTGATACTTGGTAAGATCAACCAAAGTCATGGCAGCTCCTTTTTCAACCAGGGACTACCAGTTTCCCTTGTGTCTTTATGGGCATGTACCACCTGCCATCCAGACCTGTGAGAGCTTTATTTCAATGTACAGTTACACAACAATAATATTAAGTGCAATACGAAACCTAGCACCTTTACTGGAGAGATATATAAATTATGAGTTGTTATATTGAACCGTATCCCATAGTTAATAAAATAAACTGTTAACTTGTGTCACACACTGTGAAAATATGGTATTATATACTACTAATAACAATGAATGATGGTCACTTTTACTTCAAAAGTATCCAGAGGGAATCACCTGACTTCCAATGAAAAAGATCATTTTCGATTTCTATACAGTAAGCTCGACATTATGGAATATTTCCCACAAGAAATACACGTGGTGATTGACATAGTTCCGAGAGTAAGTAGTGTGAGAGGAACTAAAAGTCTCACTTTCTATATAAGGAACATATATTTGATACTTAGATAAAATATAAAAGCATTGTACATTAACTAAAAGGGAAGGAAATAGATGATATGATTGTATAATACAGCAAAGAAAATTTCAACAAAAATACCCAGTACAATGTGCAGTTATTAGAATGAAAGGACTAATCTTGGAATGTAAAATAATATACTGTTTTTAGTATGATGAATGTTCTGATTCAAGGCTTAACATTTTAGAACTCTTGCCCCCAGTGGCTCAACGGTATATCTACGGACTTATACTGCTACAAATCGGGTTTCGATACCCTTGGTGGGCACAACACAGATAGCCCATTGTGTAGCTTTGTGCTTAACTACAAACACAATCTAAAATTATTATAGAAATAAAAATAATAATTATTTCTTTATTTCTTTGTAATTAATAAAAAATTTAGTTCAATTTTTCAAACTAGGTATGACTGAAAGAGATAAATTAATCAAAGTACAACACACTGACTTTCCATTTTATCTTGTTAACTGAAATTAAAATTAGGAAGTTATACAATGGAGTAAAAGCAGACAGACTTTAGATATTTTATTGCATAAAATATGTTATAGCTATTTTTGTGAAATATTGTTAATATTAACCGCTGTTTCGTTTTTCAATAATTTTCTCAGTGAGTTGATAGTTGCTGCAGGTACAGTTTGGGAAATGCATTTAACTAATCTGTTAATAGAATTATAATCTAATTTGGTAGACCTTATTAATTTAAACAAAGCTTTAGAACGAATTTGAATGAAAAATAACTAATTCTACAGTGAAATATTATTTAAATTCAGTTCGTGAAGAATATTTTGTGAAGTATTTTTATTTTTGTTTCTAAACTAATGGTATTAAATCACAGTATTATACAAAGCTTTGTTATGTGTGTTACGAAGAGTAACTTTTCAAATCAGAGTATATAAATGTTTCTTAGATATTGTTTCTTACTGAGATATAGTGCGTTATTTATCTTTGACTTTTGTCTACTGAAAACCAATTAATTCATACTTTTGTAGCACTTTTTCATTATAGCAAAAGGTTTTTGTTAATCTAGAGGTGTTTGAAGATGTTTAAATCACATAATGCACTTAAAGTACATACAAACAAAACAGACACGCTAACAAGAGTAATACAGCTTGTATGGGAATAATTACATATCTTGAATGTTAAAGGTTAAATTATTTTTACAAAAATCAAAAGCCTTTTTATAATTACTTATAAAAAAAATTCACATGAAGTTAAAATATCATAGCACTTTAACTAAAAATATTTGAAACGTTATTACTTTCATATCATAACTTCCAAATTAATGTTACATGTTACACAGTCTATAAAAAACAGAAATAGGTAAGTGATGAAATGCACTTTTAAAAACGTATGATAAGATATATAAAATGAATCGCCCAGATGTAATTAATGAGCATTTATATTAGTTTTCGACACAGGTAATAACATATTAAAGCTTGGAAACAGAATGATATATAGAACGTATTCATGCGTTCTATATATACGTTGCAGTATTAGTTGTGTTAAAAATATTACGATGAAAAACATTATTGCTTACTTTTGTATACAAACATTTTTCTTACACTTCATGGATCTCGTTCGGTTTGATATGACGCTTAATTCACAATCTGTGGGGTCATAAGTTCGAATCCCGTCACTGAACATGCTCGCTCTTTCAGTTGCGAGGGCGTTATAAAGTGACGGTCAATTCCACTTTTTGTTGGTAAAAGAGTAGCCCAAAAGTTGGTGATGGGTGAGTTGACTAACTACCGTTTCTCTAGTCTATCAGGTCTATAATATGGACGGCTAGCACAGCTAGCTCTCAAGCAGCTTTACTCAAATTAAAAAAACTAACTGCCTTTTCTCTGGTCTATATTATGGACGGCTAGCACAGCTAGCTCTCGAGCAGCTTTACTCAAATTCAAAAACTAACTGCATTTTCTCTGGTCTATATTATGGACGGCTAGCACAGATAGCTCTCGAGCAGCTTTACTCAAATTCAAAAAACTAACTGCCTTTTCTCTGGTCTTAATTATGGACGGCTAGCACAGATAGCTCTCGAGCAGCTTTACTCAAATTCAAAAAAACTAACTGCCTTTTCTCTGGTCTATATTATGGACGGCTAGCACAGATAGCTCTCGAGCAGCTTTACTAACAAACTTGCACTTCACTCACCGACAATAATTTGTAAATACTTTGCATGAGAAATCATGTAGCGCCATCTGCTAGCTCACACAACGCAAGACTAAAACCATAAGATATCTTATATTTCAGAAAGCTACAACTGAAAAAACATACGAACACATATCTAACCAAATCTATTAACCTCATGGCTGAAATTAGATTATAAACTACGCGTTTAACATTTTAAGGAACATACATCCATACTCTACTTTATAGTTCCTTTTAATTTATAAGTTTATATGAAAAGCATTATTTAGAAAAAATAAAAATAAAACGATCAAGAAATGAATTATTTACGGACGTGGCTCGGCATGGCCAGGTGGTTAAGGCACTCGACTCGCAATCTGAGGGTCGCGGGTTCGAATCCCTGTCACACCAAACATGCTCGCCCTTTCAGCCGTGGGGGCGTTATAATGTGACGGTCAATCCCACTATTCGTTGGTAAAAGAGTAGCCCAAGAGTTGGCGGTGGGTGGTGATGACTAGCTGCCTTCCCTCTAGTCTTACACTGCTAAATTAGAGACGGCTAGCGCAGATAGCCCTCGTGTAGCTTTGCGCGAAATTCAAAAGAAACAAAACAAACAAATTTACGGACGTTCCAAAATACATTATTTAAACACTGCATATTCTGAAGGTGATATTGCATAAGTTGTGGAGGTAAGCTCATATTTATTTTCTACACAATTTGTGAAATATAGAAGAGTAAATACATAGCAAATATTCTGTTTGAAGAGAATCTGTTCATTTGAACACAGATAAATAAAAATAATTACAAACTAAAATAAAC